TGGAGTGTTGAAATCCCCTACTATAATTGTGTTGCTGTCAATATCTTTCTTGACGTCCTCCAAGATTTTCTTTACGTATTTGGGTGCTCCTATGTTGGGTGTATATATATTTACAATGTTTGTCTTCTTGATGGTTTCTTCCCTTGAGTTTATGAAGTGATCCTCCAGGTCTCTTTATGGCCCTTGTTTTTGAAGCCTATTTTGTCTGATATGAGTATTGCTAGCCCAGCTTTTTTTCCTGTCCATTTGCTTGGAATATTTGTTTCCAGCCCTTCACTTTCAGTGTGTGTAGGTCTTTTGTTCTGAGATGGGTCTCTTGTAGGCAGCATATGTGTGGGTCATGCTTTCTTATCCCTTTGGCTACTCTACGTCTTCTGATTAGAGCATTAATTCGTTTACATTTAAGATTATTGATAGGTATTTACTGTATTTTTCGGGCTATAAGACATACTTTTTACCACATCTTTTGCTTCAAAAATTTTTTTCCTACTGTCCTTCTCTAAAACCTAGCTGCATCTACTTTTCGGACACACCTAGTTTTAGAGGAGGAAAGTAGGAAAAAAAAATTTGAAGCAAAAAATGTGATAAAAAAGTCCTGGCTGGGGTGGCTCAGTGGACTGAGCATGGGCCTGTGAACCATAGGGTTGCTGGTTCAATTCACAGTCAGAGAACATGCCTGGGTTGCAGGCCAGGTCCTCAGTAAGGGGCACACAAGAGGCAACCACACAGTGATGTTTCTTTCCCTTTCTTTCTTCTTCCCTTCCCCCTCTATCAATAAATAAATAAATAAATAAATAAATAAATAAATAAATAAAATCGTTTTAAAAATATGGGAAAAAAGTACATCTTATAGTCCAAAAACTACAGTATCCATTGCCATTTTTCATGCCTATGTTCCTCTCTCTCTTTCACTCCTTTCCTTCCTTTTCTTAAAGCAGTCCCTTTAGCATCTCTTGCAGAGCTAGTGTGGTAGAGTTGTGTTCTTTTAGACTTCTTTTGTCTGGGTAGCTCCTTATTTGGCCTTCCATTTTAATTGAGAGCCATGCTGGGTAAAGTAGCCTTGGTTGCAGGCCTCTGACTTTCATTACTTGGAATATTTCTTGCCCTTCTCTTCTGACTTGGAGCATTTCTGTTGAGAAGTCAGCTGCTAGCCTTATTGGGGCTCCCTTGATGTTACTTCATGTTTCCCCCTTGCTGCCTTTAACATTCTCTCTTTGTCTTGGAATTTTGCCATTTCAATTATGATGTGTCTTGAAGTAGGCCTCTTTGGGTTCCTCTTGATTGAGACTCTGTGTTTCCTGGATTTGTGTGACTTTTTCTCTCACCAAATTAGGGAAGTTTTCCATCATTACTTTTCAAACAGGTTTTCTATCCATTGTTCTTCTTCTCCTTCTGGTATCCCTATTATATGGATATTGTTACGTTTCATGTTGTCTTGCAGCTCCCTTAACACCTGTTTGTTCTTTGAGTCTCTTTTCTTGTTCTTGCTCTATCTGGGTGTTTTTTTCTACTTTTTTCTCCAGCTCACTGATTCGATCCTCTGCTGTATCTAGCCTGCTTATAATTCCTTCTAATGTATTTTTTATTTTTGAGATTTTATTTTTCATTTCTTCCTGGTTTTTGTTTTCTATTTCCTTTTTCATGCTGATGTAGTTCTCATTCAGTTCCTTGTAGTTGTCTGTGAACTCCTTGAGCATGTTTATAATCATTCATTTGAATTCTATATCTGATAGATTGTTTACCTCCATTTCGTTTAACTCTTTTAGTGGGGAGTCTTCCATTCCTTTTGATTGCATGTTCTTTTTTTGTCTCCCCATTTTATATGACTCTTTTTGTTTGTTTCTGTGCTTCTTGATGTTTTGCTTTGCTAACTGTCTTTGGAGAGTGAACTTCTATGAAGGCAATTCTATGAGGTTCTGTGTTGTGGTCTCTTATCTCCTTGTCTGGACGGTCCAGGTTTGCCCTTTCTTCTGTTTATATGGGCTCTTTTGTTGTACTTGGGTTTTTACCTTTTGGTGGTTTCTTTGTTGGTGGTTTTTCTCCTCCAGCAGGTATACTGAGGTTCACAGCTTCCACCTATTCTTGCATCTGATCAGTGGCAAGGGTTAGGCAAAGTGGATTAAGACAGCAGGAGAGTATTTTATGGGATTTAAAGTGTCAGCAAGTAGAGAAGAGATAGGAGATTTTTTTTTATTAAGTATAGTGTTAACTGTGGTATTTCACCCAATTAGCCACTTTTTATAAAAGGTGAAAGAGAGATAAGACTCTTGTTAAAGGGGAGGATGATTGTGAGCTAAATCCAGATCAGAGCACTTGTGCAAGATTAGATGATGAGATATAGTGACATTAAGTATAGAAAGTAGACATAATGTGACAGAGAACAGAGTTAACCACAAAAATACTAATGCTCAGGACTAAAGTGAAGTGGGCTAAAATCAGGGAGTGCTGGTGTGTAGTATATACAATTGTATGGAACAACAATTATTTACAATAGTACTGGAACAACAATAATATGACAAGAAATATATGATTTGGCCCTGGCTGGCATAGCTCAGCGGATTGAGCGTGGGCTGTGAACCAAAGTGTCGCAGGTTCGATTCCCAGTCAGGGCACATGCTTGGGTTGCAGGCCACGGCCCCAGCAACCACACATTGATGTTTCTCTCTCTCTTTCTATCTCCCTCCCTTCCCTCTCTAAAAATAAATAAATAAAATCTAAAAAAATAAATAAAAATAGCACAATATTTAAAAAAAAAAAAAAGAAAGAAATATATGATTTGGATAACCAGAATAGAAAGTACTCAATCAAGAGTTGTGTGTTACTGGAACACAGGTGAAGTAAAAGAAGGAAAATTAAAATACAATAAAGAGAGAATAAGGAAAACCAAACAATGCAATTAAACAGGGAAATAAAACAAGGAAAACTAAATATAAGGAAAAGAAATAACAAAATACTAATAACATAAAAGTGGTAAAAAATAATGACAAGATAAAAATAATACAAATGCACAATAAAATGCAGCGTTACTCTCTGCCACTCACTCTGGGCATGTGCAGCTAAAATCACCCTGGGGTGCGCTAGCCGCTGCTGGGAAGTTCCTTACAAAACAGCTGCCCACAGTTCCCAACAAGTGCATGGCTCTTCACACAGCCCAACTTTCCAGCCAGTCCGGAGACTATCTGAGTCAGGGTCCAAGGGGACCCAACTCCTCCCTTCTCCAGGTGTCGGCTGGCTCCCCCATTTCTCTGGTGCCAGGTCCACAGTCCCAGAGGGTGTATACCGCCTCTGTGAGTCTCCCACTTCGCCTCTAGTTCCCCCAGGGATGTCCAGCATCCAGGTCCCTCCTGGTGCGGGCTGCCCTCCCAGGTCTGGCAGAGGAGGGAGCTAGCGATCTAACTCTCCTCCCCGTATCCTGCAGCAGGCGCTGGCGGGGGCACAGCAGCCTTGGTCCCAGTGCAGATCCCAGGGACCTTACCGTCCCAGGTCATCTCCTCACTGCAGGTTTTTCAATGTTGTCTGCAATTTTTGCCTCCAAACTTCATATAAGCTGGGATTCCATTGGCTGTTTACTCTGTTCCTCAAAAGATCAGCTAGGTGTTCCAGCTGGGCACAGGGAGAACTGGGCTCTGCTCCCCACTACCTAGCCACCATCTCTGAGTTCTTTACCTGGGATATAGCACCAGGAAATACCAGACCTACTGTGTGTAGATGGTGCCCAGTGATCCCATGCTGGTCCTCACAGCAGTCAACAATCCCAGTCTCGTAGCTAATCCTCTCTACAAAGAGTGGTGCAGGGCAGAGGACAACAGCTGCTCCCAGCAGAAGGTACTAGCTCCCCACGGACAACTTGCTAATGGACACAGCATGCTGCCACAGCTACCTTGGCAACAGAAGCCACTAGGAAGTTTGCTTGGGGTCTCATCCTCCCATGGCCGTCGCCTCCAAGGTCAGTGTCGGTGGCACTGCTTCACAACCTATCTTATGCCAACATTTACACTGCCTCAGAAAACAACCTTTTCCACAATCCCTTTCTAAGCCAGCTAAATTTCTCAAATGTTAAGGTGCATGTAAATAACTTGGGGATCATGGCAAAAAATGCAGTTTCAGATTCAGGAGATCAGGGATAGGTCATGAGATTCTGCATTTCTAACACATTCCCAGACAGTGTCGATGATTTAGGTATACGGATACATCAAATTGCAAGAAACCAGACAAGATGCCATTGCATGGATTACAACCCAGGACAGGCTGGAATTCTTATCCTTGTTTAAACACATGAAGACCTGAAGCAGTAACGAGCCAAGAGGAGGCTCAGCCATGAAACCCATGTTCTTCCCCCAACACTGGTGCTTTCCCTAACACCACTGGGCTCAGACACCCTCCTTGACCCACCTATGGAAACACCCTTGTCCTTCTGCTCATAGGAAATGTCCATATTCGATAGCATCCTAGGAGGAGGATCTTTGAGTCTATTCTTACCTGCCCATGTCATATCCACATTTTAGACTGTAAAAGCCTACAGCACAGGTTTCATGTTACTCGAGGTTCTATAAACATTTTGGACAAAATGTTCTTTCTTTCTAGAACCTACAATGATCCACTCCAGCAGGAGAGATATGACTTGTGTTTGAAGTCCACCTTATAAAGCTCTGCACCACAGCAAGATTCAAGGCTACGTTGGCTTATTTGTCACGTTCAGCAGCACATAAATGTCCCCCTAAAAATGGTTTATTTGCAGAGCTCCTTCAAAATAGTAGTGTCAAAGTTTTGAAACAAAAGTTATGATCATCATGCTTTGAAGCTAAAAGAAAAATCAGCATTTTAGGGATTGAATTCTTAGGCTTAAGATAAATGGTGCTATATAATAATCAAAAAGCTAAATTAGCAAAGACTAATTTTATGTAAATTATATTTTTAATTGATGTTTTAAGAATTTTAGGGTACGCATGTTTTCCTCAACATGAAAATAAACCAAAATAGAGTTTTTGAAAATATCTTACCATTTCTTGTGAAACATAATCTGGACTTTTTGTATCAGCAGAATAAAAAGAAAAGTCATAAGTGAAGGTCTTGGTGCGTTCTCTTCCGGAGTCCCCAGTCCCTCCTTCTGGTATCTGGAGAGATAAGATTATAATAATAGGAGCACTGTCAGTGGAAAACTGATCTAAAGTTTTTTCTTCTTAAAAAATATACAATGATCATCATTTTTCATATTCACATCCTAAGAAACATTTAATTCCTCCTGACCACCCCTACCACACCAAAATAAATAAATCTAGAGTCAATCCATGATATGACCCAAAGCTACTTTCCTGGACTTGTTAGCATGATTACTTTATTTGAACCCGACACTCCAGCCTGACTCTGTTTTATCCTATCTTCAATGCCTTTTACTGTTCCCTTTATATAAGTGAAACCACCGGAGTTGGGGTCTGCATAACTCCAGGGCAGCTATTCACACAGACCCTCATGTAACTGAAATCCCTTAGAGTCAGTGATTTTGTGGCCCCTGTGAAAACTCCAGGTGATAGTCTTCCTCTTCCATGAAGCGCCCCTTGGGTATTCCATCCAGAAACACTTCCTTCTACCCCTGAGAGATGAGACTCTCCCAAGACATATCACATTATTGCAAATGTTTGCATATATCTTGTCTACCTTGCTTCATACCTAAATTGAACCAAAACCATGTTTAAAAATCTTCACATGCCACCAAAGCCTTACACAGCTTCCTGAATAAATTCAATGAGCAACATATTTTCCCAAAATAATTCAGACACTGTAAAGAAGATGTTTTAAGGCTCTTATTATTAAAATGTTAAAAGTGTGGGTGTTTATGTTCTGGTTATATCAATCAAGGAAATGTTTGCAAATCTCAAAAAGCAACAGAGTAATCGAGGAAAATTGATTTCACCATGCACAAAGAAAAGTCTCTCGCTCTGTTTCAGTAAATAGAATTTTTTAATGATTAAAGTTTTTACAAAGATACATGAAGCGAAGCGAAGCAAAGCAAAGCAAAGGTCACTAACATCAGGGAAAGAACAAGTGGTGGCTGGCAGAAATGTGAGAAGATGGGGAGGTCAAAGGAGGGAAAGCTAAGTATGGGCCCATCAGAGCCAGAATGTACAAGGATTGTGGTGGGTGGGGAAAGAAAGGCAATCCACTGGAGAATGCCTCAGGCAAAGGGACACCAGAGCCTCAGATGCCTATCAAATTATCTAGGGCACAACCCAACTGGAAGACAGGAGCATTCCCCACCTTCTATCATTGGAGATCAAGTTGCACCACTATGAAATTAGATTTCAAAGTGTCCAGTCCCTTGAGCCACAAATTAAGAGAAATCCAACCTAAGACTGATCTGCACTTGACCATGCAGCAGCAGGCCTCAGAAAAGCACACCGGCAAGTTTGTGACAAATATCTAAGGAAAAAGGGATGAATCCATAAAGCATGTGATTTCTTTATTATTAATTTTATGCCCTCATTTCCTCCCTAAGTAAAAAGTATTAGGGACTTAACAATTCACTGATCAAAGAAACTAATAGGATAATTTAAATGCAAAAGAAAGAACTTGCCATCTTAGAAAATTATTTTTTCAATTTTTTTCAGAAAAAAGTTCAGTGTTTTTATCCCTTGAATTTTGAATAATACCAGCACCTCTTGCAAAGTTTATGAACATCATTATTTTTATTAAAAGTAAGTAGGGCCAAAGCTTATTTAATAATTCACAAAAAGCAGTCCATGACCAGGCTAAGGACACAGGATACAGGATAAAAATGCCTGGGTCTAGACTAAGCCAATGAGCTCAGCTTGGGTCTGGTTTTCAGGTCAAATGAAACCAGGGATAGAAAAGGAAACCGAGGCTCAACCCACTTGTTTGCTCACTGAGCCCAATCCAAGAGCCAACTGACATGGCTAACTAAACTGAGAAAGGAGTGCGAAACAGCAGAAGCATTTCACTTATCCGCAAGTCACTGCAATGAACATGGGGCTCACAGAAGGGGAGGAGACCAGTTTACTACTTGCCTTTAAGTTTGTGATTACTGTTTTGCTTTTCTCCATTTGAATAATGAATTTGGCTTCCAAGTCCTTTTCCCTGCAACACAAATAATTCAATTGGGTTAGGAGAAAAAAGATTGTTATAAAAATAATTCTTACTTTTTACATATGGGAGTTTGTTTCTAAATGGCATCTGAAGTACAATCCCTGACACCACTATTGCCAAATCCTTACTAATATAAACAAGAAGACATATAAAATAGCTGCCTCCATCAAAAACTGACAAATCACGTGTTGTCAAAATCTGGAAAAATTTCTAACTGTAAGTCAAAACGAGTGTAAATGAAATGTCAGAAACTTTGGAGGGCTATAAATCATGAAAAAAGCAGCCCCACTTAACTGATTATAAAAAGAAAGACACTTTATCCCTCCACCCAGGATGAAAGCAAAGAGGAAAAGTGGACCGAGTGGTCATAACCTGTGCGGCTTCGAGGAGCAGCCAGGGCACTGCCGCCTCCTCCCATCTTCCTTCTGTCTCCATTCAGAACAGGAAGTCAAAAGAACCCCTAAAAAAGTGTCATTCTCTAAAACAAATGACATGTCTACACAACAGAGTGTTATGTCACTGAAAAAGGAATGAAGATCTCTATACACTGCTATGGAGTGGAAGCTAGGATCAATTGTTAAGTGGGGACTGCAAAGTGGAAAAAAGTATACAAGAATGCTACTATTTATTCCAAGATAAGAAAGATAACCTGGCACTTTTCAAAAAGCTACCAATGGAAAAAGAAGAAAATGTAGTAGAGCAAACAGGGTTGGAACCTAGATTTCTAAAAAAGAAACAACTTAATCTGTAAATCATCTTTAGAATGAAGAAAATAATTTACACAAAATGAAACAAAGGTATATAATTTTTTAAAAAATTGTGTAAGAGTATATTAGAGTTCATTTGAGCCAAACAGGGTATGCCTGGAAGCAAGATATCAACAGACTAAGAAAAATGCTTCCCCGTATTATATATTAAAGTAATCTAAAATGCAAACTTTTAAGTCGAAGCAAATAAACCTAAGCGTGTACTGCACAGCAAGAAACCATTTCAATTATGACAGTATGGAAGAATTTGACTGTATAATGTGATGGAACATAGCCTAAGGAGAAAAAGAACTATAAAGAAATCTCACAGCATTTTCAGTAATCATGCCTTGGTGGTAAAGTAGGCATCATCATTGTGTGATTTCTGTTTGTGTACTGTGGGATAATACATGAGTAATTATGTTGGTGCCACTGAGAATGAAAGTTTTTGGTTGAAACAACATAAGATTTATGAGATTAAGTAAAAGCTCTATAATCCTAAATCTGAATGAGAAGAAACTAGTATGAACTTTATTTAAAACTGACAGAGAGAGAGAGAGAGCCCTGGCAATGGGGAAAGCCAGCTGCCCCTGTTCTGAGGAACCAAGGCCTGCCTCCCGGTGAACAAGGGCAGCCCCACCCCAGCCACACCAGGCCCTGGCTGTGGAGCAGGCTGCCACCTAGAGTGCAGCCTTGAGAGACAAGCCTCTTGACCCACAGAAACTGTCAGATAATAAACAGTGTTTCAAACCCCTACACTGGGAGTAATTTGTTGCACAGGAAGAAATAACTGACACAAAGGCCATGTCAAAAGGACCCAAGAGTAAACCTGAGTAAGTTCCTACTGGCCAAAGTTGAGCAGCAAAAATAATAATAACTGCAAGAGAAACAGATAGAATATGCACAAGTTTATGAACTCATAACTGAAAAATAAAAACTGAATGGTCTCCTTTAGAGGATTAAGAGAATCACCTCATTATTTTGAAAGCTATTAAATAAAGGGGAAAAAATCAAGCATATCCTCTGCATTTCCTAAACAAAATCTGCAATCCAGAGTAGCCAAACGACTGTCATAGTTGTTGAGGGGAAGTTTCTCCTCCCAAGGTATTCCAGCTAATAAATGAAGATGGAATGAAAGAATTAGAATATCAATATTGTGCAAACCATGGTGCATTAATGTCTCTAGAGAGTGACCATTAATGGCTGCTAACTCCAGCCTCCAGGACACAATCAGACATGGGCGCATCCTAACTGCAGGGCCAACACCACTGCCACGGCAGTCCTGTCCTCAGTGAACCACCAGGAATACAGAGGCAGGGGTGGGGGGGGGGACGGGGGGCAGGGGGCAGGACACCACCAACAGTGCAGGGAGGCAATCAGCACCACCATGCAGCCTCTGGGAAGGCCGGTAGATAAACGAGCAGATTTACTCAATAACAGCAACAACAAACTGCAAGGAATATAAAGATGGAAGAGTAACCTATTAAAAAAGACTTGAAAGATGTAACCAATGGATCTCAACTCAAACAGAAAAGGCTTTTTGAAATTATATGTAGAGAAATGTTAACATGGACTAGGTATTTGATGATATTAAGGAATTATTATTACTATTTTAAATGTGATTATAGTATCATGATGATTTTTTGTCTTAACCTTTTAGAGATACATACTAAAATATTTATAGATAAAATGTTATGATGTTTTGGATTTACTTCAAAATAATTCAGGGGTAGAGGAACCAGGTGCTGGTAGCATTCTGACCTCTTCAAGATGAACAGACGGAATACATAAACCTAAAGAGTATGTTGTAGTGAACACCATTCAAAAACTACAGCGGGGTCACACAGACCCCATTTAACTTCTCCAAGCCAGGGGGAAGAAGGATGCAGCTGGAATCCCACCCACGTGCAAGGCACTTCCACTCCCACTCTCCAGGTCTTGGGCCCAAAAGTGAGATGTGCCTTGGGGAAATCCCATGTTCTTGTGGCCCACAAAACAAATACTCCACAAATTGATGCCTTTCCTGAAGCATTTAACTGCCTCCTAGAGCATACCCTGCCAGTCAAGAAAACTGCATGGATGAGTTTTAATACCCCAGACTGCCCCCCATCTGGATTCCTCCCATTCCTTGTGAGTCATTTCTCAGTCACTCATTAATCTGTCTAGAGCTCTCATTTTAAAACCATTAATATCAACAAGTACCTGGGGGTGGGGGGGCACACAGAATTATCCAGGGATCTAAGATTAGAGGTGACCCTGTCAATTCTTGTTTATAAAACTTGAAGCAATTCAGCTGCTACCATACCTGCCACTTGTGTCAGAAGCCCGAGGTTAAGTAATGCCACAGGTCCAGAGCCTTATACCTTTGGAGTACAAGGGCCCTCTACAAGATCGTTTAGTCTAAGCTATAAGTAACCACAAAAGTACTTTCCTAGTTCTAAATTAACATCCATTCTATAAAAATACTAGGAAAGCTATTGACTGAAAGACCATTATGTAATATAAGAGTGTCTTTCGATGAACACTTCTGAAATCAAAACTGAACAAGCTAGGTGGGTTTCAAAGCATTCACCACCTCCTTGACACTGTATGACTCAAGTGTGGTGATGGGGAAGGGGATGGCAACAGGTTCACAGTCCTAAGGAACCCTGGGCTTCCTGTTTCTCAGAAAGTTCTGTGCCCCAAAGACAGGTACCCTACTCAAACCCTGGACCCAGCCCAGGACCCAGCAGCACCATCAGCCACTGGGAACTCAGGCTGTACCTCAGACCTACTGAATGGGAAGGAACCTGCATTTTAACAAGAGTCCTAAGTGATTCCAATGAACACTAATGTCTGACAAGCACTGCTCTGACATTATATTAATATGGCAGGGTGATGACTATTCTTACATTTACTCTCATGAAAGAAACTCCACAATGTTTGTACTTTATACACTGGGAAACTCACTAACTTTTTACTTTGACCTTTAAGTTTATTTTCTAAATTGAATGCAAGAATATGGATATAACCTAAGTCAACTGAAACTGTCTCCACCCCTTGCTCTTATATTGTACATTAGCTTCTGACCAAGAGCAATAACTGTCTGACACAATCGGCTCTAAAGAGTCACCTGAGTGCCACCACACCCAGGTTCCCTCACTCTCAGCACTCTGCCCAGCTACCAGCTTCCAGCCCTTTCTACCTCCAGGCTGCTTCCCAATGCCAGTGTAAGGCTGCCGAAAACAGTTTGAAGTCATTTTAACAGTAATCACATGTCACCCAGAGAGCCTTTGCAAGCCTTCTGCCCTGTCCCCTCATTAGATGGACCACATGCTTGTCTCACCCACCAAACTGAGAACGTAAGAGTAAGGACTCTGCTGGCCTACATTTATATCCCCAGGTCCAGGCACAGTACCTGCAACTTTGAGATGCTCATAAAATGTTGCTAAATGTGATAGACTGACTGAAATAATGAATGAATGGTTCTTACCCCAGCCTACTCCTCACCACATGCATCTTCTACTTGAAACCATGTCCCTTACCAGCCCCCCTAGAATCCTTTGTTCTTGCTTCCTCACAGGCTATGGTATCTTCCTGTCTTCATTCTTAAGCAAGCCTTGTCTCAGGTCTAGTTTGATTCACCTTCCCTTCCTGTACCTACCTAGCTTATCCTGCTTATATGGATTTTATTCCTACTGATATAATCCCTCCAATTAGTCTAGAGCAGGAGTGTCAAACTCACTTTCACCGGCGGCCACATCAGCCTCACAGTTGCCTTCAAAGGGCCAAATGTAATTTTAGGACTGTATATATGTAACTACTCCTTAACAGCTAAGTGAGAGGTCAGTGCTGCTGCTGGATAGAAACCAGGTGCCAGGCTGGATAAAACAAAGTGGAGGGCCGGATTCGGCCAGTGGGCCTTGTGTTTGCCACCTCCGGTCCACAGAATACCAGAGAAGCAAGAACCCAGATTCCTTCACCCTCCAACCTGAGTCCACTGAGCACAAGAGGACAACATTTACAATCCCTGCTCAGTGCTTTGTCTTAATCATTTGGCTCAAGACTGTAAAACAGCAGGTACTGAGAGCTCCCCCAGCTCAGGTCAATGTCCTCTGACATTTCAGAAACATGGGAAATAAATCTTGACATTTTTCTCATATTGAGGAAAATAAATAATCCTAAAATATTATTTGAACATTGATTTGATAACAGAGCAAAATGAACTATGTCCTTCCCTGGCCACTCTGGTGAATTGGGTTTCTC